GCCCCCGTGTAGCATGAGCCCCGTGTAAGGCATCGTGAGCCCTCGCATGACACATTGTGAATCTCCGTGTGAAGAAATCGTGAGCCCCCCGTGTATGCTATCATACTGGGAAACTGTTATGTGATTCGAACAAATAAATTCATTGCGAAATCTCGATATAAAAATAACCGGATAAGCTCTATATTGTATAGACTGATGAGTCGATCGATAAATCGTTTTTCATGACAAGTTTTTTATTGTTCAACTGAATCAATTCCTCTAGAAAATAAATATTCAGAACGTTAGGCTAGTTAGAGTTTGCTTTAGAATATTAAAGTATTCTATTTTACCCAACATCTGGCGCGAGTGGAATAAACCCAAACCCCGTACGCAATCGTTGCTAATATTATTGCCCTGCGTCGCGCAAGCAAATATTATACCTCTCAATGGCTAGCGAAAAAAAGGGCTGAAAGGTTTTAGTCGGAGTGAACTGTTAATGGATAGGATCAGTTTTATCGTGCATTTTCACGAGAGGGTATACAAACTCTGAAAGCCTATACGAGAAATAGAAATTCGCAAATTCGCTATAGATGTTTTCTGATCCATTTCCCGTCGCCTCGAATTGCAAACACAAACGCGCCAGCGGCAGAAAGTAAATGACTAAATACATTTCCACGTTTTCGTGATCAGATCGCGACGTTTCTAAGAGCGCAGGCGCGCATTTTTCCGCTCGCAACATAAACAAAGCGCAATTTTTGACGAAGTGTTCCGCGCCGCGTAAGTGTATAAAGCTAATCAAGGAGTGAGCACATGTGCGAAGAGAATGCGCCGAGAACCATCTGGGATCCCCACGCGGATGGCGAGGAGAGGAGCAGGGAGGCGCTGTGAGATTGAGGCGCGAGGCTCAGTCCCGCTTGTTCGAGCGTCGAGTCAGGCGGGGGGAGGCAGCGGCGGCGGCAGCGGCGGCAGCAGCGGCGGCGGGAGAATACAACGCCCGATATTTCTCTCCGTCGCTGTGTTTAGACATATGATTACGTGCATTAGTGGCTCTGTTTTGCCAACTACTGTTAGAATACTTGAGAGTTTGCATAAATATACAGATGGCGTGATTGGCAGTCGAAGTCTATATTGTAAGCATTTGAGGGCACGCGGCTAAAATGTGTATCTACGGAGTAAATCTATCGCATAATCGAAAATTACATTTCGCGAACGTACACGTCACACAAAAATACATAAAATGCCTAATACCTATCTCTAGAGTTTACTGCATTCTGTATTATAGTATTATATATTATGTAATAATAATAATATGAGTAATAAT